ATGCTATCCAGCCGCTCAAGGACTAGATACAGATACAAGTGCAAGTGTGGAACTACCATCAGCCACCTCCTCTACATGGATGACATCAAGCTGTATGCTAAGAGTGAACAAGACATTGACTCGCTGAGCCACCTGACACAGATCTACAGTGAGGACATTGGGATGTTATTTGGACTGGAGAGAAGTGTGGCCAGATGGTAGTAAAGAGAGGGAAGGTAGTTAGGACTGATGGGGTGGAACTACCAGCGGGCCACATAGCAGACATAAAGACCAGCTACAAGTATCTTGGTATCCCATAGTCACATGAGAACCACAATGCGGAGGCAAGGAAGACAGCAACATCCAAGTTCCACCAAAGGATAAGACAGGTCCTGAAGAGCCAGCTAAATGGGAAAAACAAGATCCATGCCATTAACATGTATACCCTGCCAGTTATCAGATACCCTGCCGGTATAGTGAGCTGGCCAAAGGAGGACATAGAGGTTGCCAATGTGAAAACCTGGAAGCTCCTCACAATGTACAGAGGTTTCCACCCCAAGTCCAACACCCAGAGACTTTACATCAGCTGGAAAGAGTGTGGGAGGGGTCTGGTGAGTATCAAAGCCACTGTCCTGGACGAAACCCAGAGCATCCAGGAGTACATCAATAAGATGGCATTCAAAGATGAGCTGCTGAGAGAATGCCTGAGGGAGCAGCAGACATGGGAGGAAGTTCAAGCAGAGGAAGTACCATGGCAAGACAAGCCCCTTCATGGGATGTACCACTGACAGATAGCTGAGATGGCTGACATCCCATTACTTCCCCAAGCTGCACCTCTCATTCCTTCCCTAAAGCTTGCGTCCCATTCTTGCAAGACCTGGGGAAGACCAGAAAGTTTCCAAATGATCATGAGAATGGGACACTGGCCTGCAGAAGGTATGGGACATGCAGCTTTGGGAAGGAACAGGACGATGGGATGACAGCTTTAGGGAAGAAATGAGAGGCATAGCTTGGGGAAGGAACGGGACAGTAGCTTGTAGAAGGTATGGGACGCGTGGCTTGGGGAAAGAATGGGACAATGGGATGACAGCTTTAGGGAAGGAATGAGAGGCATGGCTTGGGGAATAGTGTGAGGCGGCAAAGGCCAGTGGTGTGGGGCTTGAAGTGTCATTTCTCAATGGCAGTGGCAGTGCTGGGGCTGAAGGCAAGGCCTGGGGATGGTGGCAGCTGGCTGTGGCTGCTGAAGACCTCAGGCCTCTACTTCAGTCCTGGCCCCGACACTGCCACCAATGAGTGCTGCTGTGCAGGATGGCCAAAAGGGCATAGATGGGGGAATAGATGAGTGTGGGTGAGCTGCCAAGCACCTGAATTTTGATCACATGACCACAGGGGCACTGCAATGGCCGTATCTTCAGGCACAGGTAGTAAATCCATTTTTTCAGTGCCTCCGTGTTAGAAGGAGTGTGGCATAAGACATGGAATATGGAAAGGTGTTACATGATCCGGCACACCCTTATTTGGTCAAGTACCTCTCACAAAAAGATTGAAATCAAGGAGGAGCTTTTTAGATTGCGCTGAGGAGATTGCTGCCACACCTTAAACAGAGCGATTAAAAAGATGGAAATCCCAAGTAAAACATCTTTACGATTGGATAGAACCGCCTGAGGAGTTCCCTGGAGGTTCAGAGGAGGAGTGGACAGTTTGAGATGTTTAAATAGCTGGTGCACTGGTTTGGGTAGAACTAAAGATCAAATGGAAAAATGGGGGTTTCTTCCTGAGGAC